TTGGCCTGCTACCATCTTCCCCCCAACTACAACGCACAGTCATACTGTCATCGGGCAGAGACATCCACCAACATTCTCAGCAAGACAGGCATAAAGGAAGAGAAGAGAAGTCTGACTGACTGATGTTTGGCCTGCTACCGTCTTCCCCCAACTACAACGCACAGTCATACTGGCTGTGCATCTAGACCGAAAGTTGCACCAAATTCAGCTATAATTACTGTGCATTGAACTGCATTCCATTCAAGTGACTACCGTAGGTCTGCCCCAAATTCAGAAAACACAACAATGGGTTCTACAGCTTCTACTACATTATTCTTCATGTCTGCACAGTTGCTCCTTAATGATCACGAATTCAAAAATTCAGATCTACCAGTTTTATATTGGTATTTTATGTGAAGGTACTGCCTGGTACATCTGCGTAGAACTTGCTCAGAAACGGTATTTCGGCACCTTTCAGGTATGTTTGCCACAATACATGGGCAGACTGGTATATTTGCTACAATACTTCTCCAAATGGGTATGTCCGCAATTTGCCCGTTTTCATTCCAGCATGACTGTTTGTTCTCTGGTACCTCATCCATTTCATGTAAAATTCACATGCATCTGGAGATTCTGGACTAGTGCTGAAAACTAGAGCAACCCAAAATTCAGGAGAACCTTTTTCCGGAATCCATCCGCATTTCAGCAGGTCGCATTGTAACTGGTTTATCAGGGAATATTCTAATCAATATTTGGCCTCCCAGACAAGCATACCTTATCATAAGCCTTTCACCGTTTAGTCCCCAACACAACCGGTAGCAAAAAGACTGACACATAGGGCCTTTAGCTCTGCAACACGACATGGCACATGGATCTGGATTCCGGACTGTATTTTAGCCCAGATACGTTTGCACTGACCCGGCATTTTGAAAGTATCTGGACCAGCGCTGGCATCAGATTCATTTAGACTGCTGCGCAATGGAGCCAGAGGCCCATACACTGATTATACTATACACACTGCGTGTTTCAATTTGATTAAGAAATCATCGCATAAGAAGGTGCTTGGCTTCTTCCATTTAAACCACCAGTACTTGGCCGGCTATCGGCCGCGGAAAAAAATAGAGTAGAAACGTTTCTAGGTGGATGAATTTGGGCGCTCCTGTAGTGGCCCATACGTTTCCTAAAATCGTGGCGCGTTAACGGGCACGACTTTGGGAAATACTGGTGGTTTAATTGCGAAACCAATTCTTTGCCCTCACGGAATACACAAACCATGCGCAATGATATAGGAGCCATCTCTTTTTCTTTCTTTCTTTTTTCTTTTTCTTCGACGGAGGAGCCATCCCAATCCACCAATGAGTATGCAAATATTACCTGGGTCAGACAACCGACCGTGAGTGACAAATTTGAAAAGGAGAAAAAAGAAAAGAGAAGAAATGGCTGTTTGGGTTACCTTGAGGAGGCAGCGGCTGATGCTGCCCCAAGGCCGGAGGGGGTCGCCTTCCATCTTGCACACCTGTCGTCCGACCCCTTCCTCCAGTGCTGGCCTCTTGTGAAGATATGATCTGATTGTAGCAGGCATTGCAGACACGTACGTACTCGGTGCTGGTGCCCGGCAGACCCGCCCTTTGGGTCAGACAGTCCCTACAAAAGTCGCCCCTGCAATTCTTACAGGAATGCTGAAGAAATTTTGCAATTTTGGTTGGAATCATTATTTGTTCCACAGGTCCAGCAGTCGCAAGCGGACCAAGACCAGCCACACCCAGCAAGAGGTGGGGGGACGGGGAGAGGCGGGGGACACAGAAAGAAAAGACAACAAAAAGAACAGAACAAAAACACGAACAAACAAGAACAGAGTCAGGCTCGAACTCTAGTCAGCAGGCTCACACGAAAAAAAACACCAGGGGAAAAGAAAGAAAAGGATAAACAAAGAAATAGACATATTCAGACTCACCAACGGGCCTAGCTCAGTCAGTACACCCATGAACTGTTGAAATATGGACCTGAGTTCAAATCCAGATCAAATCAAAATAACATCGAATTACCTGGGGCCAGTCAGCCGAATAATGATACCTGAAGGCTGTTGCCCTTTTCGAGAAAACAAAAAAAAAAGAGAGAGAAAAACAAAAAACAAAGGAAAAACAAAGGAAAAAAGAATTCAGACTCAAACTTTGGGGCCAGGTCCACACTTAAAACCCATGTACTTGAACTAGTTCAACTGTGGGACAGGTTTTGTGCGAATTAGGGTATACTCACACAAGGACCTTTTGGAATGAGTTCTGGACGTCATTGCAGTCAGATACATCTAGCACAGGGCCCGATTGCGGTCAGATGCATCCAGGACAGTCCCAGTGTGAGTATGCACTTACAAAACCAGAACAAATTATAAAAAAAAGAAACAAAACAGATGGTACAAAGATCTTTACGCCGCACTTTGCAAATTTTTTTTATTTTTATTCTTTTTTCTCCAGGGTAGGACATATGGCTGACGTCGTTTGAGAGGAACGCAGCACTTTTACGGAGAAGACGTCGATTCCCACCTCACTGTTGTTGCAAGTGTATGTTGACACAATTAGCAGGTCGATACAAAAAGCGAAGTACATATGTGATTATGCCCTCAGTGAGGGTGTTACAGAGGGCGCTGAGGTGAACGAAAGAAGAACGAAAAAAATAATAAAATGGAAACTACACTAGGGATGGGAACACGGGATGATGCATTATAAGTAGTAGTGTGAGTGTGCCCTCCGTGACCATCTGTCAGAAGCCGTGGAATGCGCTCTGCCACGCTGGCAGGGCACTAAAAACAAACAAAACACAAACAAAAGAAGGGAAAAACAAAATCACAGAGAAGAAAACTTGAAACAAACCAGAAAATTCGATACATTACACGAAGCAATGGTGTGAGCACTACCTCGTGCTCTGTACTTTCCCGACATCGTAAGTCTCTTTTTTGTTTTTTTTTGGTTTTCAGGTGGGCCCACAGGGCCCGTTCATTTTCTTTTTGCCGAGCCTCCACGAGACCCCCAAAAAATGTGGTGTATGTCATATTCTCATTTTCCCCAACGCTGGGAAAGGCAGTGGTGGTTTAAGACATACTCACCCTGCCACTTTCCTAACTATATCTAACCAGAATTGCACTCTGGATGAATCTGACCGCAATTACGTCCAGAGTGAAAGAAGAGGGAATTACTTAAGACATACTCACACTGGCACTTCCCTAAATGTATCTAACCAGAATCACACTCAGACCTGGATGAATCTGACCGCAATTACGTCCGGAGCTTAGTAGAAGAAGTCCTAGTGTGAGTATGCGCTTCTAAGAAATGTAAAGTTATAAACTACTTTTTCTCCTAAGCCATGGAAAAAAACAACGGCGCAGGAACCCATCACACACCATTTGTGGATTGCTTGCCCTTTCTCCAGCAGTGTATGGGTCGGTGGCAACAGCACTGAAACAGAATTTTTAGCAGTAAATTTGCATGGACAGAACAGTGGATAGTACTACCGTCTTCACCTGAATAGAATGCCCAGTCATTACCGCTGTATTTGGGGCAAATTTCAGTCCAGATGCAGGGATAATGACCGGGCGTTCTATTCGGGTGAAGACGGTTGAACTACTCCCAGTGAGGACTGTGCGTCACAGAAAGGCCTAGGGTATGTAGCCCAGACCATTTGTGGCATCATCCTCTAAGGAGATCTGGCTGAGTCAGAATGCAGCAGTCTTCAGAGAGGAAAAAGTTTCATTTGCGCACCTGAAAACAGCCATGCGGGCAAATATTAGGAGAACAATCCTTGTGGACTGGCATCGCACGGTTCATCAAACTGATGAGAAGATTAAACCACCAGGCCCGAAACAGAAAACGGGCCGCCAATTCCATTTATCAACGGCGGCCCGGTCCCGCTCGGCTTCCGCGTTACCCAGTGCGGAATTGATTTTCAAGTGCGGGAAGGTACCGGTGGTTTAAGACTGGGATATGGTTTCAGCGCGCCTGGTGTGTCAGCAATCAACTAGCAGGGATCGACAAGCGAGGGGAGCTCATTAATGCACCGTGGCTATGGCCAGCGTTTCACACTGTGACACCACTGCCAACAGGAGTGCGAGGGTTTACCCCTCGGCATAAGGTCCTGCAGCAGGCGCGTGCCCGCCCTAAGTGAAGGCGGGCCCCCTGAATCTCAATGTGCCCTGAACTCGTCAATTTTTCCAAATCTTGGTGGGCGCCAGACAGTTGCCGCGCACCAGTTGGTTACATTCGCCCGGCTCGTGAGAATCGGAAATATTTGTGAGCCTTCAAGGCTCTTCCAGCAACGTGGTCGAAGGAGGGAACACCGCACATTGTGCCTGGGGGTGGTTGGGAATGCCTAACCAAATCGGTCCCAGGCCACTGTCTGAACGGGCCTGGGTGCAGACACTTTGGCCGAGACTGAAGCTACTGGAAACTCGGTCTCACGGGGCAAGCAAGTGGGATGCGCCCGCCACTTTCCACATAGGAACGGGTCGGGCTCCCACATGGAGATGGGGCACTTGGTAGAGCGGGCAGCAGTGCTAATGGAGCGAGCGCTCACGTGCTGCGGCTAGGGCCAGTCCAGAAGTGCGCACGTGAGGTCGTGTGAGAGGCAGGGCGCTGCTGAACGCAGCGCCATAGCCCAGCCCATGTAGACGGGCTTGGGCTGGATAGCCAGCGGGAGGTGGTGGTGGTCTGCGTGTATGAGGGAGAAGACGTGGGTGTAGAAGTCGAGGGTGAGAGAGAAAGGGAGATGAGAATGATGATGTGAGGGCACGTACCTGGTCTTGGCGATGGTCTACAAGGGTGGACACCCGAAGTTCTGCTGCTGACGTCAACAGGTTGCATTGCCAATTCGTAGGCTGAGAGTAGCTGCGTGATTGTAGTCTGGGCGCTGGGAGCGCCAAGAGGGAGGAAGGGCTCTGGATACATATGTTGGTGGTGGCGAGAGTATGCTCTCATTGACATTAGAATTCGGTGCTTTGGTTCTCCGTTGGTGATATATCGGTGCATTTCTGCTTTCTGGACAGTGTTGGACTTTCTGGCTTTCAATGTCATTTTGCATTCTGGATTTCTGTCATTTCGCTATCGCTCATTTTCTTTGCAGGAGAGTTATTTTGAAGCATAAGCCTAGAGATTTCTGTATATCCAATAGCTTTAGCTGACAGGGCAGCTTCGTACCAGCAAGTATCAGACTTTGCTGAGAGGATTAGCATGGCCCCTGCGCAAGGATGACACGCATAAATTAAGAAATGGTCCAAATTAAAATTATTTAAAAAAAAAAAGACTTCGCTGAGAGGCAGTGGTATAGTAACGGAAATGGTCCAAATTAAAATTATGGAAAAGGGGTCCAGCATCCCTCTCTTCATCTGCTGAAGCATCGTAGCTTACTGATGAAGAGAGGGATGCTGGACCCCTTTTCCAGCCGGGCCGAAACTTGGAAATGGCCTCAGTTACGCCAGGTAGAGCTGTGAGGTCCTCGGCCTCAACTTCTCTCTTTGGGAATATAAAGGCTGTTATTCAAAAACAGAAAAAAAGAAAAACTCAACAGCACACAGTTCAGTGTGTGCCGGTGGGATGAGGCCCCTTGTCAGGCTCGCACTGTATCATTAGACGCATTTGTGCCCAAGAATTAACTTCAGGGCAGTCGTGCCCGAGACTTAACTTTGGGGCACTCCACACACTACCCCTTCCCTGAATGTATGTGACCGTTATTACATCCAGATTCAGTTAGAGAAGTCTCTGCGTGTGTACGCCCTTTGCACGCCAAACATATAGGCACTGGCGGTAGAGAGCCTCCCAAATACAGGGCCTTGCTCCACTGCACAACACTCTACATGTATATGGCCTGAAATGCGGACCAGATGCACTCGAGCTTCTCCGACATTCGGAATGTATAGGATTAGTAGCAGGTCCAGATACAGGCCCTGATATGCCCCAATTCTAATAAACAGGGTACGCCCCTGCAAGTACGAAGTTATCGGTTCAAGTCCGATCGTCTCCAATTTCCCCGTGAGCCCGCGTAGCTCAGGTGGTAGAGCATTCCCTTGGTAAGAGAAAGGCCTCCGGTTCAAGTCCGGTCGTAGGCTCCGCCTTAAATTGTACTCACAACAGGTACTAAGAAAAGATGGCATATCAGGGCATATACTTACACGAGCACTTTTTCCTAAATGTACCTGACTGCAATTATGACCACATCTGGGTGCATGTGACAGCAATCACGTCCAGAACTCAGGAGAAAACAGTTCTAATGCGAGTACAGTGCCCGGGGCTACAGTCTTCCCCCGAATACAACGCTCGGTCATTATCGCCGAATTTGGTCTATCTTTCAGTCTAAATTCAGCTATAATGACCGTGCGTTGTATTCGGGGGAAAACTGTAGGTCCCACTAGCGGGGGTTTAGTCTTCCTTTCGAGTGTTTTTCAACGTGGCCACAGTGCCGCCATGAGATGTTCAGATCCGATGGCAGGAGCTGGAGCATACTTGTAGCCAAGCTTAAACCCCCGCTAGTGGGACTTAGCCCCCAACCTGACAATCTAAATCCTACCCCTTTTACTTATTCTATTTATTTACTTTTGAAGGGCAACGGCCTTGAGGCAGTACAGGCTTAAAACTGGTGGTACGTAGGTCGTGAAAGGTGAAATGGAAAGAAGAATATAACTTAGTTTTATTCAGAAACAAGGACCGACCAGCCACAGGTAATTCAGAGCTTCTTTACTTACTTATCTGATTCCATGAGCCGTCTCTTTTTCTTTTTCCTTTTTTTATAACGATGACAGCCTTGAGATATCATCATTCACCTGACCCGCCCCAGGGCCTTCAGGTATCCTCATCAAACTGCCCTGCCATGCATAATCCAGAGTCTATTTTGTTCTTCCAATTCCATCACGATTCGATCTCCAGTCTGTTTATCGGCAGTTCTAAGGGGGTACCACCATTCAGCCACATGGACTGGGTTCAGGTCTGTTAATCAACAGTTCTACTGTACACCCTGACCTGGTCTCGGGTATAGAGAATAGTAGGCCCAGACCTGGTCTCAGGTATGGAGAATAGTAGGCCCCGACCTGATCTTGGGTATGAAGGTGGAAGAATGGAGACTTCCCTGTGCGGTGGTCAGGGGGAACAGTGACCTGCAGCATTTAAGCAGGGGAGAAGTAAAAACACTCTACAGTGGGTCTCCAGGAAGTCAGGCTGAG